CCAATACTCGCAAACCGGCACCTCGATACACGCATCAAATTGACGGTTTTGAAGAGCGTAATCGTACCGCCGCTAGAGTACGCCGGAGAAGTATGGGAAGGAAATAAGAAGGTAGTGAAAGAACTCGAGGCGGCGCAGATGAAAGCAGCGAAAATCATCCTAGGATGCTCCACGCGCACAACTAATGCAGCCGTCAGGGAAGAATTGGGGATCCAGTCCCTACGGTCGGGAAGAGACGCGAGGAAGCTGACATGGCAGTATCGCATGTGCGGGATGGGAGAGGAGAGGTTGCCGAGAATTGTATGGGAGGCGAAGTGGGCAAACAAAAAGAGGGGTAGACAACCCACGGAATGGGTCAAGGTTGTAGAGGACGTATGGAAGGGGGTCGAAATCGACAAAGATGAACGCTGGAAACGGAGGGTCTACAGGGGTCCGAGGAGAAGATATAAGTTGCTTGTGCCGAGAGAGAAGAATAAAATCTAATTCCAAGGATAAGGAGGGTCAAGAAGTGAACGGAATGTTGAAGGAAGGAATAGGGTTCAAGGACTACCTACATGGACCAATGGATGCAGGAACAAAGCTTAAGGTCAAATTCAGGACCGGGGACATAGNCTTCGAATGCGAAAACCGTGTTCGTGTAGTCGCGGAATGTCCGTTGTACAAGGAGAGGGAAGTGTACGTGACTGAGCTGGGAAAAATAGATGGGACGTACAGGGAGATGTTTGAGGCATGGAATAGAGAGGAAAGGACGGTAGCTGTACTGGGGCATAGGAGGTGGGTTGAGAAGGCGGGAAGTGATATCGCTAGGATAACAGACTAGGGAAGACATTTTTGAGTCACCTTTGGCAAAGTAGAAAGAAACGATTGGCCATCGTTGATCGGTCCTGTGGGAACAACGCTCCGTCCTCTCGAGGTGGCGTGTTCATTGGTCTAACCGCTAAGGCATGCAAAACATAAGAATACGCCGCCCCCCCCCCCCCCCNATGGCTGCAGGAGAAAACGACGACACCGGCGTACCCCTCAACAACAATAATATTAGTCTAATGATAATAATAATGACAATTAGACGGTGTGGGAGGAAAAGACAAAACTCTCGCACGTATTACGTAACCGTCGTGAATCGCACCTTTCCGCGCTTGAAGCCGGCGCTGTTAGACTTGTAGGCCAGCACGTCCGAGAAGAAAACACCCAAAAGGTATGCTCCCATCAACCTGCCCGCAGACAAGGCACGGACGCACAAGCACGCAAGACAAGGCACAGACGACGCACGACAGCAGCAGTTATGTGCATGTTACGTAGGCGACTGAGGAGAACGTCATTGCCACACCTCAAGGACCACATGGCGCGTACAGTTTGGTCTGTTCAAAAGTGTCGCTTTTTTCTCTTTACTACTTCGACAGAATCACACAACAGGAAACGGTTGAGGGACATCCGTCTTGGTATGTGCTTGATCACCACGGGAAGACACCTAACACCAACTGGCGGGTAGCTGGACAGCGAACTCGACGGCTTTCCCTCCACACCCGTCTCCTACAAACGTGTTCTACCGTGGCCCGTAACTCAGTATACACAAAACGCGCACGCGTGTGTCCCAACAAACGACCGGCGAAGGTTGCGCTGAGGAACCTGCTCAAGTCATACGATCGATCCCGAATTTGCCATGCTCTAAAATCTCTTCCTCCTCCACCTCGCGTCAAACAACGCTGAGCCTTAATTTTCGGTTTTAGCGTGAAAAGGGCATTTTCACCTTACTGCTGTATATAGCTGTGAGCGGAGACCGGAACGATTTTCAACCTCAAGACAACAAAGAAAACTTGGCCCTCACTTCATGTAAGGGCCCACGGTGCCCGGTCCCCACTCCAGGCCGAACAGGCTGCACAAGGGCTGGGCAAGCTTGCCCACGAACTGGTCGTACTTGGCGAGGTGGAGGCCACCGAACAGGAGGGCGGTGACGCCCTGGGCCACAAAGGCGTTGTTGGGGTTGCCGAAGAACTTTTTCTGGTGATGGCGTGCACGGCAACAAGACGACCGGACGAGGAGAAACGGAATGGCGGGGGTCAGGAAAGGAGGGGGTCGGGGGGAATAGGACGGGGGGGAGCACAACAAGGAGAGACGAGTTTGTTTTGATGCGCGTCGCAGACAAACAGCTTCATACGCGTGGCTACATATGATACTACCCCGCTGTTGCGTCCTCCAAACCATCCATGCCTTTTACAACCTGTTGAGAAATAGGTCACCCCTACACCACAGCAAGTAACCATCGTGCGGAATGATAACCATTCTCCAAATCTTGAAGCGATACGTAACCAACAACACACTAACAAATTCATTGCTATTAATACACATACCACGGACTCTTCTTCTGTCTCTGAAGAGATGAATTTCACGTGTTCCTTGGAAGAAAAAAAAAAAAGACATTCACAACATTCACCAAGGCCGTCCTCTCGTCAGCGACCACTTGCTTGGCCCCGCCGACCCACGACATCTTGGGCTCGGGCTCGGGGGCCTTTTCCTCGAAAGGCCAGCCGATCTTGGTGGGGATGTGGACGGATTCTCTGTGGATACATGTGCATACATGCATGCGCGCGACGCAACAAGGGCAGCCGCAAAAGGAACGGATCAGCAAAAAAACAAAATAAATGAAAAAGGCAGGTGCTTGTACAGTCGTCCCCGCTGTAAAGACACCATTTTTAAAGACACTCCCCGCTTGAAGGACACAAAAAGCTCAGAAGCATGGTGCCCCGCAGATGTGAAAAAGTAGGGGGGGGGGGGGTACTCATAGTCGGGCATGCCGTAGTCGTTAGACCATTGACCTCGCATCCCTACAAAGCCG